GTCATTACTTTTTGTATATTTTTATATGTTGCATTTTCGGTGCTTATTTCCTAACTTTCAATTAGAGACATTCCATGCAACTGTTAAAGTCTACCTGGTTCCCAAGTGTCATTTAACTATTACCTACAGGTAAATGGTATTGTACATTGGTTTTAAATTTAATTTTTAATTTATGGGTTAGTTAGAAACATGTTTTCAAGGTTCCAAATCTAATAGGTTTTTAAGGTTTTATTTACCTTTAAAAATTGAGTTCTGATTTAAGGACTGTGTCCACATGGTTCTGACTCTTTTATGAATATTGAGTCTAATTTATGATTTAGATCATGGTCAAGAATATTTGTAAATACCTGATGCATTCTTCGGAATAGTATCCACTTGTTTAATAATCTATTATCTCAGTTCTTTTCAAACATTTTTTGTATCATGCCATACTAGCTTACGTGGTGAAGCTCTTTGTGGTCACATCATCTGATCTATGAGGCTGAGGACTCCCACACCATTTTTATCTATCCCTGTGCTAAAGGGAATTAAACCTGAACTGACTTCTAACACTTTAACAGAACAGCAAGTTATAAGCTTTGCATTGAATCAAACAATCATTAATCATATTTTATGAATATTCTCAACACTTATTAATGTCCATCAGTATGTTAAATATAGATCTTGGACCCTTAATTCAGCTAGAGTAAAGTGTACAGGATGAGGAAGATGGGTGGATAAATTTCCCCAAGTATTTGTGTTTGATTTCCTCTCTCAGAAACTCTTGGTACTGACGACATTGTTTAACTGGTAACAGGATGAATTGAATGGCTCTGTGTGTCACATCAGATGTAAAAATGCTCAGCAGAGGGAGAGAAACTGTTTCTTTCAGTTGCTCTGTTTACAATATTCCTAAACTTATTTTATCCTTCCTTGCTTTCTTTTCTTCATCTGGGGAAAGATTCAATTTCCCATAAAGCACATGGCTGAATGAGGCCATGAAGTAGAATCATAAACAAAATCAAGGTGTTCCTATCCAGAGAAAGCAAGCAGGCCTTTCTGCTGGATTAGCCAATACACTAGGAGACTAACTAGTGCAGGGTAAGACACACAGAGATATCTGTGGGAACAGGGTCTTAGAGTGTCATTTTCAAAAACTCAGCTCCTCACATTTTATATAATTCTTACTTTCACATTTTATTGTCTCCTTTGCTTCTTATAATAACTCTATAAGGTAGATTAAAATGTACTATTCTTGATAAATTACAAATTATAGACTCCTAAGCTTTTCATTAAAACAAGACACTGAGAAGTTGTAACCATAAGCTTTAACTTTTATCACTGTGCCAATGAGAAAAAAGTGCCCATGAGTCTTTTCTGGGGTGACCTACTAATCTTCTAAGTATTTGCATGCTTTAAAAACATTGAGGTGTCAATTATAATAATAGTACCAGGTAAAATAAGACAACCAACCAGAACTGCAGATTGCCCTGGGTTATTTTTGCAAAGCATGGCAACAGTCTTTACAGTCTTCAAAGTTTTAGAAAAATCTTTTCTTCCAATAACACTTCCGGGCACAAATTTATATTCACAGGGAGCAGACCAAGCTGGCAACCGTTATGAATATTCACACAGCTCTCCTTGTCGCACAAGAAGCAAGATTGGTAGTCTTGTGAGTATTCTTAACTGATTACCTTATCAAGTCAGACTGTTTGCATTTGTTTTATGATGCAGAAAGCTCTCTAATAATTTCAGGACAGAGGACATCTCTTCATCTCTCTTATACTTCTTTTGTTAATTGTGAAGACTTTCATTTTCTTTAAGGCCACGTTCAGCAACTCCACTACTTAGCATAAAAAGTGGAAAGCAGGCCCAAGGCTACATTTTTATTTTGCAAAAATGGCATGAGGCATGAATGAGATTCTACTCATTAATACTGATAGAAGGTGCACAGAGCATTGATCTCCCACGTTCTGATTTTGCAAATGACGGAGGTGCTATTGTCACAAAAGTGGCAAGGTTGACACGAACATATAAAAAAGGCATCAACAAGCACAGGAAAAGTATCTCTTTCGAGGATGTGCAAGGTTTAGAATTTGGAGGGTGGCAGCCCTTTGTCACTCCTGGCAAAAGAGTAAGTTTCCCTTTTTCCTAAGAGTGCTACAAGATGCTGTGGCTCTTCCTCCTCCTCCACAGCTAACTTGTGTATAGAGTTGAACTCTGCAAGCCATACATCGAGCATCTTTATTGGAATCTTGTCTTCTAGGTTATACTGACATTGGATGAATTAGACAGAAATGATAGTAAGTTGATAACTAAATGTCCAGTAAGTGATATTGCCTTCAATAATTTGATGGCAAAATTTAGTGAGTGAATGAAGTCTAAGTAATTGAAGATATATTTATTTAAAATATTTATTTAAAATATCTGCAAACATCTTACTGAGATTTTCTTCTTCTTCTTCTTCTTCTTCTTCTTTTTTTTTTTTTTTTTTTTTTTTTTTTTTTTGGTCTTTTTCCTTTTTATCAGTAACGGGGATCAAACCCATGACTGCCTGCTTGCAAGGCAGGCGCTTATGCCGCTGAGCTAGAGATTTTCTTCTAAGAGATCTTCTTAAAGTGCAATTTTTTGTCCTTTGGATTTCTTCTGAATATGTAAATATATCATTAATTGTCTATACATTTAATTTTCATTGTTATGTATAATATATTCTAAATTTAATGGAAATTAAATATTTTATGCATCTGTGCTAATTTTTAATATTTATCTTACAGAAGATTGCTTTTATTTCTAAGAAAATTCGATATGTTATGAATTAGTTTTGGTCCATGTAAAACATCAATATCTCTCAATTCTGCCAGCTTCTAATTTTTGTGTGGCATCAAGTTAGTCATTAGCAATTTTGTTTTCTTTGTCAGTAGGACTAGGGTGGCATGTGATCAAGTCAGTTATGTAAGTGAGCATTTACTGTCATGTCTTTTGCTTAGCTAGTTCTTAATAAACATTAGTTATCATTGGTATCTCATTAGTTTAATTAGTGATGGAGTCTTTAGCCTTATTCTGTTCCTTCTTGTGTTTTTTCTTAGTTTCTGTTCTATGTAATTGTGTCTCGCCTTCCAAGAATTCTATCTTATGGTATCCTCTGATATTCTCTTGCCTTTTTCCCTCAATGATTACTGTCCAGGCTATTGCATATAGATGGGCTCCCAAAATGAATTTATATTATTGACTTGGGTGCTTACACTCCGGCCAGGAATCCCTGATTTTCTAGATAGTGGCAGCTTTGAGTAAGTGGGATGTTTCCCTAAGAAGTTAAAGCAGTGACAGTGTGCTCCTGTTTAATTCCTATTTTTTTACCCTCTTTAAAATTTTTATTTTTTGTTTTTTTCTGTCTTAATGTAAATTTCCTGTTCTGTTAATCAAATGAAGACAAAATCTCCTCTATCAGCAATAAGCCACCTAATAAATGATAAAGGGAAATGAATCATTGTTTCTTGAGATCTAAGTTGAACTTTTAGAGGCTTTAAGACATTCTCAGACAAGCTCAAGATTTTGGATTTCACCTGTTTTCTAGTCATAAGCTTTCTCTTTAGTTTCTTCTAAATTTTTTGTCATTTGAAATGGGAAGGTTGAAATGATACTCTTGCTGGAGCATGATCCCAGAAAACTGCCAAAGAAAAGTAAACATATTTCTTCAGTCACTAGATGATGGCCAGTAATCCATAGCTTATTAACATTATAAAGTTCTACCTTACTGAGTTACATTAAATTGAACTAAAAAGGGCCTGGGGATTTAGCTCAGTGGCATAAGCGCCTGCCTTGTAAGCAGGCAGTCAGGAGTTGGATCCCTGATACCGATAAAAACAAAAAAGGCAAAGAAAAAAAAATTGAACTAAAAATACATTGCAGAATTTCATTAAAGAGCTATGAGTATCTTGGACTTCTGATTTGGATCAAGATGAAATAACATCTTGGCCTTAATTATCCATTTGGATATATTCTCCTACCTAAAGCAGCTAACATGTATGAAGCAATGGAACTCAAGATGCTGAATACCAGACAGTGAAGGACATTGACCCCTAAAAGTAAGAAATAAACAAGACGAACCTTTCTACTGCTGTAGTGTATGTTCAGAGAATGTTGCCAAGCCTTGGCACAGGTAGAGTGAGCCCAAGTGTAGCCCCTGCTCTCCAGACCTGAAGAGATGGAGTTACAGATCAAGAGAGGCAAAGAAGACAGAGCAGTAAATAGGATTATGCTTGCGTGAGAGAGGGGACTGCGGGGACACACAGAGGGCACCCCTCAGGTATTCAGCTGAAGACTAGTCAGTGCAAGAAAGAAAACTACCCAAACATGGGGAAAGACTCCTCTGAAAAAGGTAGCGAAGTAGTATTGTAGTTCACACAGTGGTGAGCATCGTGCCACTTTCAACAGTCGGAACGGAAAATCTTGTAATTCATTGTTACTGGTGTTAAGTACCAATAAGGGTCTTGCCTCAATGGTAGGCTAAAAAAATTGAATTGTATTACATAACTGGACACTGTTAAAGGTCAAAATTTTTGTAGAAATATGCAAATATCAACCACCTAAAAAATAAAATTCACAAATTTAGTAGAATTAAAGAAGCAGGAAAATAAAACCCTTAATGTGGAAATCAATCAGTTGAAAATCAAAATGACAGAAATGATACAATGCATTATAACATCATTCAAACTGTTGGTATAACTGTATTTTATATGTTCAAGAAGTTAAGAGGACAGATTAAGAATGTTTTATAAAGACATAAACGAGAGGATAAAGGACTCAGATTGAATTTATAGACACTAAAACTAAATTATCTGAGACTTAAATAATACCTCATCTGAGACTACCATAGATTAGTCATTTTAGAAAAGAAAAAATGGTGAATTTGAACATACAGCTATATACAGTTAAAATAAAAAAGATGGAAATAAAATAGATTCTAGAAATGTGGGATAATTTGCAAGTCACTAAGTAAAAAGGAGGCAGGTTACAGAAAATACATGTTTTAAAATATTGTTTATTTTTTCTGTTAGACAAAATTGTAAACACAGATCCAATAAAATAACCAAAGTCCTAATTTAGGGTATGCAAAACACACAAACCCACACACACACTCACACACACCACAAAGCACATTACAATAAAATTTAAACTAGTGGTAAGGAAAATTTTAAAACAATTAGAGAAAAATAATACATGACATACAAAGGGGCACAGATAAGTTTGATAATGGATGTTTCATTGTGTTCAGAAATCACACAAATGCAGTAGCGTCTTTATATTACTCAAGAAGACATTATTGCATGCAAGTGAAACATGATCAACTCAATTCTGAACTTTTTTCAACCAATGAAAATGTCATTGGCAAGTGAAAACAACCTTTTGCAGATGCACAAAATCTGAGGGAATTCATCACCACTTGACCTGAACTACAATAAATATATTAAAGAAGTCCTTGAACCATAAAGATGATTCTAGACAGAAATTTCCACTTAAACAAAGCATTGTAGAGTTATAAAACTTCTACCTACACAGATGAGTATGAGGACACTTTTTAGTATTATTTTAATCTAGATATTTGATTACTTTCAGGAAACAATAACTATATGTAAAGTATAAAATCCACAGCAAAAAGAAATACAAACACAACATTTAAAGGTTTACATATCAAACTAATGTCATTTGAATATAGACTGTAATCATAGTAAAGATATATTTTGTAAACTTTCATCAGTCTTTCTTTCTGAAAGGCAAAAAATAATAGACTTTTAAAAAAATAAGTTTGGAAAGCAATTTTGGTGTATTTTTTAAGAATTTAAATTGCATGCATATTTTGGTATAACTCTTGATCTTCAGAAATTTATCCAAAGACACAATATGAGCACCTTTTAATACAGAAATTCATTTTTTGTCATTGAATCTTAAGAAGAAATCAGACAAATATACACATGGAGAATCATTCCCATTACAGCATATTTGTAAATAAAACAAATTGTAAATAAGTTTAATATCTTTCAACATTATTTAAATATATTCTGATTTAGTTAACAATGAAATGTCATCCAGACATTAAAACTATGACATATTTTGATATAGCTGAAGAAGTATAAATAATCACACAATATATTGTTAAAGAAAATTTAAATTATATGTATAAAGAAATGTATCATAGATCTGCCCAGTAAAATAACTACAAGTACTTTTAGATAGTAGTAGCTTGTAGTAACTATATCTGGGTATGGAATTTCTAAGTTCTCTTCAGTTGCAAAAAAAGCTGGATTAATTTTATAGTGATTTTAAAACTAGTTAAGCAATTTTCATTTGGATAAAATATTTCTTAAGAAAATTATGCCACTTCTCTTAATGTATTTTAGTAAATTCTACATCTTTCAATCAGAAATTTCTTATAATGATGATGTGTTTCCATCGGTAAATTAGGAAGGAATTTTTTAGAAATCATTGGTTTTATTTTTTCTTTCAATATATTGAATATATTATTACAGAATATATTACAGAACATATTATATAATATATTACAGAATATATTATTTTTTAAATTTATCTTTCTACTACATATTATTGTAAAGTTCTGATTTTTTTTATAAAGCTTAACTTGCAAATTGGATTTTATTTTGCATTTACTATTTTGGTGCTTTTTAGATGAATTCATTAAACTAATTTTAATGGCATTACTTTTAGTGTGTATGGATGCTGTCTTTCAATAAGAGGTCAGACACCATCACACCAACACATGATCAGATCATCATCCTGCCAGGTTATTCTGTGTCACGTGGGGACCTTACTTTTTCAGTAATAGTCTCTCATAACAGCATTATCACAGAGCTAGACCATAGTCCTGCTAGTCCATAGTTTCTCTCTTGGCACGAATCAGCCCAAAGAGTCTGATGGGGTCATCATGAATGCTTTCCTCTATCGCTTGGCTTTCCGGTGAGAAACTCTCTACCAAATTGGTTTTAGCCGTGTTGGCATTCACTGCATACAGCACCTCATCTCTGTCCTTGTCTGAAGATTGAGGATTCTGTTTCCTGGGTTTTCTGCGCTTCCCCTTGAAGCTATGATCAAGTGAGGCATAGCACATCTGCGCTTCCGCTGTGACCTGAAAGAAAGGTCTGTTAATTTTTCACTGTTGCCCTGTTCCATAACTTTGGTGACTTCTAGAAATTTCCATGGCTTATGAAAATTATAGAAATTGTTTTCTGGTTTCAGCTGTCTTGTTTCATCAAATTTGTCAGAAGGAAGATGAAATGCAAACTGATAATCAACTTAGGTCTATGGCACCTTACTACCCCAGGACTCAATTCACAGCGCTCAGCCATCAGAGGCTGCAGCAGCCATCATCTAAGGATCCCAAAAGACTGCTCAGGCTGGTACAGATATTGGCATAATCCATGTGGTGCTGGTTTTTCAGGCATGCAAGATACAAGAGTTACGGGGTCATGGATGCTTCTACCCTGATTTCAGAAGGTCTTGGTGAGAAGACGTTATGCCCCCGAGAGAGCAATCTGTGAAGCTGTGAGGGTGAGAGAAACGTCTTAGGCAACGAGCAAAATGACCCCAAGGCAGAAGTTCATGAAGTTTGCAATCAGTAACATCATAGGAGTGGGGTTGCCCAAGCCCTTGGAGCACATATCTCAGCACAGATTGCCCTTGGTGTTAGACGTGGGACTACAGAATTCAGTGTCTGCTCTGCTAGATTTTAGTCCTGCTCTTGCTCCGTTACATTCTATCCCCGTTTCTTATTTTTGGAAGGGGAATGCTTATGCTGTGCCACTGTGTGTTGACAGTCTTTAATTTTCTATTTGTTTTTTACAGGGACTCACAGCTAAGCATATGCTTTGAGTCTCAGAGGAAGCTTTGGACTAACATTTGGCAATGCTGGACCTGGTAAGACCTTAGCAACTCTTAGAGATGGGCTAAACATATTTTTTTTTATAAAGAGATAAATATGAGCCCTGAGGAGGTCAGGTTTGAAAGAGTGTAGTTTAGATAGAAAAATGTCCACCAAAAGCCTCGTTTGTTCAGAAATGGGGTTTGGGAGAGGTTACTGGATAATGGGGATGTTATCCTCACCTGTGGATTAATTCACTGATAAATCCAGAACAGAATGAATTGTCAGAAGGTGGGGCCAAGTTGGCAGAAGCAGGTTACTGGGGTTGTGACCTGGAAGCAATATCTCCCTGCTTGACTCCTCCCTTCCCTCTCTGGTTGTTGGATGCAATAAGAGAAACAGCTTTCCTCCGCCTGACCCTTCCTCAGGGCCCTTCCTGCCTTGAAGCCAGCCCACGATAGCCAAAATAAACTTCTCCTTTAAATTGTCAGTATTAGGCATTGTGTCTCAGTGATGAAAAACTGACAAGGGAAATTGCACATACCTTTGATCCCAGCACTCTGGGAGGCTAAGGCAAGAAAACCATAAATCTAAGTCCAACCTGATCAATTTAGCAACCTAATAAAATCCTGTCTCAAAATTTAAAAATAAAGATATCTTAAGTCGTAACTCAGTGAGAAGACCCTGGGTTCAGTCTCCTCTATTGCAAAACAAATTCATTGATTGACTGACAGATAGATAGATGGATGGATAGACAGACAGATAGGTAAGTTTTAGACTGACTCTAACTTTCCTCCATCTTTAACTTTACAAACAGACCAAAACAAACAAAGAAATGTTAGCCAAGTTTGAAAGACACTGAAACATAAAGGCTCTTTTTTATGGTTTGTCCAGGCTTTATTCTATCATTTTTCCTTTGATAAATTCTCCCCTTTGGTGAAGTCTTCTTATGTAGCCCTGGAAAGACTGGCAATTAATAGTGCTCTACCTGACACCCAGCAAAAAACATAAGCACGTGACATAAGCTGGACCAAGCACCAGCTGCCTCCCAACCCTCTGGAAACAGAAAGTGGCTCAGGGATGACCATGTGACTTCACCAGAGCCAATTAGATGACAGCTTTAGCATACATAATAAGTATGATGTGTATTGTTTTCAAGGACATAATAGGCATTTTTTTCCTGGAGTTGAAAAGAAAAATAATCAGGGGCTTCCCAAATCAATTACTAAACCTCACGGATAGTGCCTGGAGTCTGATACTAGAATATTGATACTAGAATATTAAGAATGAAGGCAGCAAATTCATGAGAAGAAATGGAGAGCATCTCCAGACTCAATCAGCTCAGAAACAAGGTGCACCCTTAGATTTCTGTTTCAGTTATGGGAGGAAATAGTTTTGCTTATTCTAAACTAGCTTAGATTTGGTTTCTGTGTGTATTAGAAAGCATTCCAAATAATAAACATCTGGCCAACCCTTGATCAACTTGATCAAATACTGCAGAATTAAAAGATGTGGGCTCTGAGGAAGGACCACAAGTCACACATTTAGGAGTCACTTGAGCTTTCTGTAGTGCTGTCATGGGACACACAGAGCCCGGAGGAAAAAGCAGTGTATCTATGGAAAGAAATGGAAGCCGCAGAGGTCAGTGAGAATCAGAAATCAGAGGGAAAAGTGGGTTGAAGGTAAAGGGTATTTTTATGTTTTGGATTAAAAAATTGAGCTTCATACATATAGCTCGGCAAATAGTAATGACTCACATAATGAAAAACAGAAAATAAAAAGAAATTCAACGATTGAAGGTATAGGATCCTGAAAAAATTAGGAGAAATTATTAAAAGTGTAAGCAAGTATTTGACTTTGGAAAAGAGAGAGGCTCTCTCTGAGGTAGAAAGAAAGAGATTGTTTAGATATTTGGATATAAAGATAAAAAGAGCAAGTTCACAACTAAGCTCTTGAATTTTGCATAGTAAGCCCTCTTGTGGACTTATTTTATTTCTAGGTTTCCTGATTAACTCTTCCTCATTGATAGTAGACTGAAAAACTGAAATTACAGTCTCTGAACCCTACACATCATTTTCAAAGACTAAAGAGATTATTTACTTTTTTAAACACTTTCACCCATAGCTTTGTGAGTAATATTATAGATTCCTTATGCTTTTGTGTTGGACCAAAGTTACTAAGTATTATAGCAACAAGGTGAGTAGATCATGATTATTCTAATAAAACTGAACTGAGCATATATAAAGAGATTACTTCTAATACATAAAATTAAATTTATAAGAAGAATGTAATAGAATGAAAACTAATTTTCTGAGTAGTATCAGATCTTTGAATATATAATTTATAAAAGAACAGGCTTAAAGACATTATAAGGCTTTGCATAATTTCCACTTGAGTAAAAACCAAATGCAGTTCCAAAAAAGCTGGTCTGTAAAATTTCTGTGTACTGAGTAGAAATTTTTATTCAGAATTGTCAGTTGCAGTTAAAGTGTTGTGAATCTCTGCAATTTACATGGTGTGGTTCTTTGTTAACTTTTTTTTTTTCAGAGAAGTTTTCCCTTTTTGCATGGGTTTAGCAAATCATAGTGTACCATGAAGATTTTCATATTTTTCATCTAAATATATTTTGCAATTAATTGAATATCAGGTGACATATTAGGTAAATTTATAGTTCTCTCAAACCTCTTTATATCTTGGTTTCTTAACAATTTCAAGAAATCTGATTTCTTAGAGGATTCATGTACAGAAAAATTTCAAAAGTATTTTAATGGGAAGTTTCCCAGACGTAACCCATTTCAGATGACAGAATGTTTTCTATGAGATCTAAGTTTGGGTTCTTTCCCCTTACTTAGTACTCCAGTGGTATAGACAAGATTTTTGTCTTTCATTCCATATCTAAAATGGGAAAAATAATGTTGCCTCCCTCACAGAAATATAAGGAGATAATGCTTGGGAAGCACCCAATATGAAGCTGACACTGACCAACTGCTTAAGAAATGCTGTCCCTAATACTATTGCTTAGCAGCAGTGAGCATATAATTAAGGGGCCCGCTTGGGAAAGAAGAAAGACTATTTCAACTCCGATTTATGGCATCCCAGGAGCACATGAGCCAGGAATTTTGAACTGTATTTAATGAAATAGCATTACGATCGATGAAGTTGAACTGATTATGGCAGGCAAAAGAGAAACTTTCCATTCTTGGGTTTTCATATTTCTGCTTAGTTGTTTGTCCTGCCTGTCCTCACAAAAGGTGCATGCATATTTCACAATTTTATATCACAAGAGCTCAGCTGTAGAACTTGTATTAAAATTTATATGCATTTGCCTTTTAGAATAGAGCTACGATATTTTATATTCAGTTACATTATAACAAATCTTTCTCCTTCTCCCTCTCTCTGTCTCTCAACCTGTTTGTGAGCGTTACACATGTCACATATTAAGAAAAAGCTTAATTGATTATTTAAGAATAACCAAGCTTTTGCCCTCAAATTTCTTGCCCTTTTATTGATATATAACTTTGACTCTACATGTAATTTGAGTTGTGTTTACTGCTCTTTGAAATTCCCTATAAAGATCAGGTCCTAGAACTTGACTTTTTTAGGCTACAATATTTCTAACAGTTTACTTCAAATGTATATCAAAATGTACCATTCCTACACTCTGGAAATATACCCATGTACTTCAACATAGACCGAATTGGAGCTTTGGTATAGAAATCGAAACTCACCTGTGTAGAGGAAGCGACTTCTTGCGCATTATTGACAGATCTTTCTGGTCGGGCTTTCATTTGTTCATAGCAGTCTTCATCTATTGGGTCTGGAGATTTGTAAACATTGTGATTTACAATGGAAAAGTAAAAAACTTAGGCATGTTCCAAATAATGTGTAGTTCTAAGAATCCCTTATGACCATGTAACTAATCTTTTTGGTAGAGAAATTGATGAGGTTATGGAAAAATGAACTGTTACCTTCAGATTTGACACTGAAATCTTTTGTTCCACGGGATTAATAAGACAAAAAGAAGACTTTAGAATAAAGACTAAAGCATACTAAGTTTTTTATGCTTTTACGGGGTATAATAGTCTCATTTTAAACTTCCATTTAGAGCCCCCGAGTTACATGATATCTGTGTTCTTTGCTTTAGGTATGATAGCAAACAGTGCGTGGTGACATAAAGCACAATGTTAATATAACAGTGGTAACAACTTCATAATTTCTATGACTAAAAAGTCTTACCTGGAGGCATTTAAAACTCAACATTCTAAGTTTCAAAATTAAGGTTTAGGTTACAACTTTAGTGTCATCAATCAGTAACAGAACAGACCACCTAGACGAATTCAAGAGTCTCAAGGTATAAAATAGTGGTCCCAGCATGTGGCGCATGTAGTCTAAGAGCCAGCAGGCCTGTACTCCTCTCATCCTGTGGGGATACGCTGTTTGAATCATCCACACTTTGCTCCCCCCAGATAGGTCCCTAGATAGGCTCAGCTAGGATGATTAGTAATCTGGAAAAAATGTGGATTCAATTTGACCTCAAAGAGAAAAATATATAACAATAAAAGATACTTAAAATATCTTTTAACTATTTCTGACAAGCAATTTTTCCTTTCTGGAAAGAGAAATTGCCAGTTTGGTGTCTCCCAAATCATGGTGTATAGAAAATCTGCATCAGAGACATCTGTTAAGTTTTATAAGTAGCAGGTTCCAAAACTCAATCTGGGTCTGACAACTCAGTATAATCTCATTATTAAGTGGCAAATTCTTAACCGCCATTTAGGACATGTTAACACAAAATCTGTTTCTTTGCTTAGTAGATTTTTAAACCTAAGCATTTGGCAAAGTAAAAGGTAGGTAGACTTAACATATGAAAATTACAGTTATGCTACACTTCGAGCTGCCAGACTACTTAATATAAACCTTCAATGTTATGGGTGAGCACCACAATCCTGCAAAGCAAAAAGAGAGCAAATGACTTTAACAGCATCACCCTGAGGAGATGCAGAGTTTAGAGGGAAGTTTAAAATGCAAGGAAAGATACAATTAAACAAAATATTGAAACCTGTAAACTCACCATAAAGCTATCTTTAGGAAGATTCTATACTGTTTAATATGCAGATATTCATATAAATTTAATACATTTCATAAAATCTCTGTGTTTGAGACATGGAACACAACAAACATTTGGACTCCAGATTCTCTGTTTATGAGTTAGGTAAAGGCTTGTAAGGCAGGAGGGATAGTAGTTTGTCTCATTGGGGATCAGACAAGTTTTTCCTGTTTTGAAGAATTTAAACTGCTTTGTTGTTTAGGTTGTTGGATGGCTCAAGGTATATGGAATGGTAGGAATTGAACAGTGTTTGTTATTTAAGAACAAAAAATGTGGATAAACCACTCAGTGATGATTCAGCTCTCCTTCTCCACTTGCCATCAATTCAGCCCCAGGTTCTCAGCTTAAAAAGATCCAATTAGAAACAGGAAACGAGGAAAAGTGCTCATTGTTTCTGACTGTTCACTGTGGATTTGCTTTTGTATATGGGACACAAAGCACTGTCTGTTGCCTCATTTTCTGTTCCAGAAATAGCTTTATTTCATAGAATTCTTTGTGTGTCAGAATTCACGGTCACAGACTCTTCCTGTGGTCTCACTCCTGCTAGAATGACATGAAGATAATATAGAAAAGCAGGATGCTGGTTTACACTAAACATCATAATGAGATTTACAATAGGCAGCTTTGGAAGTAAGTCTTAAATAATACACTAAGCATACTTGAATTTACGTTTGTTACATATTTAAATATGATTGTGCTTCAAAAAACATTACTTAAAATGGAATTATTTAGCTTACTGATGAATTTAACTTATGGGAAAATAAAACTTACCTAGGATTACATTATCTAAATTACCATAAATTGGTGTATCTTCAATATCATATTCATCAGCCCTGTAACCAAAAAAAAAAAAATTCACTTGATTAGAGTCTACTTTATACAGAGTTTATAAACTAATATTTAGCTAAATTCAGTACTGAGATCTGACCATTGCATGTTCTTTTTCAGTCACAGCCAAGCAAGGCAAATGTGTTCAAGTAAATGAATGCAGATGTATATGTGCATGTACATATGTGTGCATGCATGTGTGTAAATTTAAATAGCTGGGTTTGGGATCTTCTTTTAGGAAAAGATTTTAGCAAATGATTTTTCAGCTGATTGTGTGTCAGATTTTACTTGTAGTGTGTTTCATGAAGTTTTCTTTTTAATTTAATTGTCACAAAAATTCCAGCGGGGCAGCACTATGGCATCCCCATGTTACAAATAAGTAATATGAGGTTCACATAAGTGATATAATTCACAGAAGACCATAAGACTGGTGACACCAGTAGGATTACAATAGATTGTGCTTTTAACACTGCACCCCCTTCTTATGTACCCATGATATCATTCTAAACAGGCCCTTAAAATTGTGGTTACTAAGTACATATTGCTGACTCAAGTTGGCAGATGCATTAAAATAACTAATTGCCCGTTTCATTCAGATGCTGGGTTAGGTGTTTTAGATGTTATATGGAAACCCAGGAAAATATTCTACAAAAACAATTTTATTATATTTATAATATTTACAAAGAGGAAGCCTGAGATTCAGATAATTTTATTTTCCTTGGTCTCGTGTGTAACATCAGCAATAAATACCAGTTATGAGAACTTTCCTTCACATCAGTGCTCATTTCAATCCCCAGTACAATCTTATGAGATGCAAATATTTACCCCTATTATATGCATAAGGTATTTGCAGCTCACAGAGGTTAAATTATACAAAGACACATAATCAGTAACCAGCTTTGCTGGGGTTGAAAGGGAAGGATGGTCATAAAGCCCTGGCTCAGTCCACATCATACAGATGTTATACAGAAGCTGACACAACTTAAAGGGTTAGGGAAGAGCTGGAGATTATCCAAAGGCCATTACTTTATACCTCTCAAGCCAAGAGAACTGACAAGAATAAATGACTATTATTTCTTGCTGTTTGATTAAGCTTCCTTCTTGCCTTATTTGAGTAATACTCTTATTAGAATAGATATCAAACTACTGTCATCAGAATTTCTTCCCAGCAATGCCATCCTAATACTGTCAATGGTCCTAGTAACCAGCTTTGACAATGGCAGTCTGGGAACAGGGCACATTAGGTGCTGAGAGAGGCATTTCATAAAACAGTATCAATTAGTTTTACTTTGAGATTATGTCACCATGAGCCGGACAGAATTATATTGACAGATAAAAAAACTATTATCTCAAAGCATGATACCTATACTTCTTCTCATTCTTCTGAAAGAAGCTAGAACATATGTAAACAATAGATGTATATCCTTAAAAAATAACAGTTCAAAAGATGCCTGAATGAAATGCTTTGAAGGGTGCAGCTACTAACAGTTAGTGTGTATTTTGCTTATCAGATAACAGTGGAACTCATCTATAACGCTTATTTCCATCCAATAATTTAATATACCTTAATATTGGGATATGTAGTGGTGTGTGTTCATGGATTCTCTGGCTATGCAGAGAATATTATACCAAAGGTGAAGAATTTTTAATAAGGGAATCCATCCATTTTCCTAGCCCACATAGCAGATAAAACCAGCAAATGATAAATCATGTCTAAAAAATGAATATCATTTCACTCTCCATGAATGAAAATAAGATGTGATTTATAATACAGTGCCCTGTGTCTACAGGCAGGTCTCAAGTGATTAATCTCTCAAATAAACTATTATTCAGGAACAGTTGGATAATGAGCGAATTAAAAAATGCATTTTTACTTAGCAATGCCAACTAGTTCTAGTTTATTACAGATATGTAATAAACTTTAACTACAAACACTTGGCAGTGTTTTATGTGAAAGATGACTGTAATTTTTTTAAAATAAATTTATAAATAAACCCATAGCTGAGAGGCTAAAATCTTTGCAATTTGGGCCTGGCCAGACTATCACAGTGAGCATACCTAACGGGCTCCTCTCACCAATAAGAACATTTGTTCACACACCCAAATTTAAAAGCATAGTAACTGTATCTTTTATTATGATCCAAAGTATGTCCTTTGCTTAGATTTTATCTAGTTTCTCTTTTTAAATTTTAATTATATTTTTTGTTGTGAAACCTTTTCTTCAAATTCTTCATGATCTGTGTGGATTTAAATAACTCAATTTAATTTAAAAATAATAACTTCTTCCTGGTTTCCTTTGGACTTCAATTTTCTAAGTTTCAATTGTTTTATTGATAAATCAAGAATAAGAATATTAAACTTGATCTCTATTATTCTTTTTGGTTTCAAAATTATCAGTATAAATATTAGGTTCTAACAGTCAAATAAAAATGACATTTCTGCGAAATTAAATAAAGTTGGTTTAAAGAGTAGAAAGTTGTCAGACTGGGGAAGGAGCAAGCCTAGGAATCTATCAGAGATTGGTTTTGGCAAATGTTAACTTGATTTGCTCAACAGGCATCTCTTTAAATAGGCAAAGTTCTGTTTGAGCTCCGTCAATATAGAAATGTTACGTATAGCCATGAAAGATTATGAAATTATTTAGGGGATAAGTACAAGCAGAGAAAAATGTCACTAGAGCAGCCCTGAGCACTCTGATGCTGAAGGTTCTGGACCCTACAGAGGAAAAGGAACAGTAGAGAGAAAGAATAGTGAAAAGTAATGCTGAACGAGAGGAGGCAGTGTCCCCAGTAGACAGTGCCAGTGTGTTAAATGCTACAGATGGGCCCAGTTAAGTGGAACTAAGATTTGGCCTCATGGAAATCATTGGTGACTTGGACAGGAGCTGAGTCAGTGAGACAGAGAGGACTGAAGAAGACTGAATGGGTTCAAGACAGAACAGGAGAGGAAATGGAGCATTTCCTGTTATGATTATTTGTGTATTAAAACAAACAGGAAGCTGGAAAGCTTGGAGGTATTTTGGGATCATGTGAGACAGCGCCCACGTAGGAGTCTTCATGTCAGTGAAAAACACTGATGAGTTCTATTGGCCTAAGATGCTCAATCCTGAGAACAGTAGGTCAAGAGGACAGTTAGGGTTAGTTATATATAGGGCACTACTTATTTTTCGTCAGATCGGCCCCTTTGCAGATCTAGACATCCAAGAAATCATAGAAGAGAAGCTGAGCAGAGATAACCTTGTGTGACTGAAGAGCCTCTAGCGACCCCAAGAGCGGACCATGAGAAGCTGATGGGAAGGTGTACCAACTTTTCTGTGAGAGACTGAAGTCTGAGGAGCCAAGACAACTTAGAGGAAGCATAATTCAGAGCAGCCTTTCCAAGTTAGGGTGAACAAGCTGTACACATGCAGGACTTTTCTTAAATCTTAATTTTCATCCAGTTTGCATGGCAATCAAATAATTTCTGTAAATAAACTATAGCATCATTGATATTTTTAGATGCTAAAAATAAATTTCACTCATGTTTAATCTCTTTCCCAATACAAATATACCACTGCAAGAATCGGATTAAAATTCTAACGTGTCTTGATCCCCAGTCCCTGGCATTATCCTACATTATCTTCCTTCCACAAATCAAAAGACAAGATTGTGTAGAACTGTACTTTAGGTGAAAAATAAATTGGACCAAGGGTCCATACCATAAAATGCTGTCTATTTGTTAGATTTAGATGCTATGCTACTCCTAAATTGATTGTAATTCTGATCTACTAGTACAGGAAGGGCAGGGATTTGAAGAAGCAAGCAGATAAACATCACAGAGAAATTTCTCTCCTCCCCAGCATAGCTTCTCACCTAAACAGATGTTACAGAGAGCATGATGGAGAGCTCAGTGTGAAGGAAGTGCCTTTCTTCTTCCTGATTGTAAGCCATTTTGGAACTGAAGAGTGACCTGTAACTCTAGCTGCACCTTGAAAAGCTAGATTTGTTTTCCCTTGCTCTGTTTTAAAGCTCTAAATTTAATGGCTGAAAATGTTTCATGTTTGTTCCTGGAGATTCAGCGTCCCTCTGCAAAACTGATTTTGGTTTTCAAACCACATAATCAAAAGAAACAAAAAAGAAGTACATGCAAAATCTGTAAATATGACTTTTTATAGGTAATCTGTACTTAGATTCAAATGTTGCATAAATGAAGATCTACTATGGTAGACAGTAAATGAACTATTCTTCATAGAGTGGATGTTCACTTTTGGAATTGGCTGCCAGTAAGTTTATCTTAAAGTTGTTCAGTACAGCAGTATTGTTGTTGTTCTTCTTGGTGAGTAATATTTATTGAATGAATGTTGTAAAAGAACCAGCTTCTTTTCCACATTTTCCTTAAATGTGTATTTTGCTTATGTTAAGATGGATATTTCACCAATGTTTCCTGCCAGGTCTTCCCATTCTAATCCCAAATGATCAAATTGGTTTTTTTGCTAAATGATCTAATAACAAAACTGCATCTTAAGTATCCTTGAAATGACAAGTATCAAATTAATCATCAAAGACATTAATGTCTTGTGTTTATAGGACCTTGTCTTGTTTACTGTAACAAAAAAGCGATCTGCAAATCATTCTTGACATGAAAATTACCTTGTGCTAAAGCATCCCATGTTAATAGTGGCCCTAAAAATAAAAATTGTGTGTGTGACAGCCTGTAGCCCAGATCTGAATTGTGCCAGAAACTTTTCACATAGAGAACATTTTTTTAAAAAGACCTTTTAGAGTTGAGCATGGTGGCACACACCTGTAATGCTGGCACTCAGGAGGCTGAGGCAGGAGGCTCACTGAGTTAGAGGCCGGCCTGCATTATATAGTGAGTTCAAGGCCAGTCCGCACTACATAATGACTACATAATGTCTCTAAACAACAAAAGACATAAAAAGGCCTTTTAGAGGCCAAAAAGGCATAAAATTTTCCAATCCAATTAGAAAGCTCTGAGTGTTACAAAGATTGTTCTGCCCGTCATTTCACAAGATCTTAAAGGGTACTCTAGAAAATGCTCTTTATTTGGATTGCTTTTTACTCCTGAAATGTAATCTTCAATATAATGACACACATTTGAGTTAGAATATACTATCTAAAAAATGAAATTTCTTTGCCATGATTTAGTCCATAAACATTCTTTTAAAACAAGTCATACTACAACTCTGGATTTCCATTAATACATTACAGAGAACCAGTCATACAGAGAAACTATAACTTAACACTATTTTAGATTATAGACTTACTGCTTCTCCTCAGTTATTGACATTACCCCTGTAAACAACAGTAGTGAGCATATTTGTATGTATGTGTATATGTGCATTTGTGTATACGTATCTTAAATTTTATAAATATTGCCAGATTTCTCCCTACTCTGGATTCTAAAAGTACAGCAAAATTTTAGATAAAACTGGGCTGTACTCTTAAATTATACATGGGTCATAACCTGGGAAATTTGTTTATGGAATTTTGTGGATGCCAAGTTTAGTCTCATTCCATTCTTCTCCCAGCTCTTTAATTGGCTGAGGATATGTTAATAACTAGGTTAGATAATAATCTTATACATTCTAACTTTCCAATGCATATAGAATTAATCAAAAATACTCTTTATTTTATTGTAACTCAAGTACAACAGCCATGAACTAAATTTATAGATAATATAGCATTTGTTACTTTCTCTTAAGGTTGAGAGCCATAATACCTGCCTCCATTTCAACATACCTGGGAATGTAGTCATCAGAGTATCTGTACATTTTATCTGAAAGATATTCAAAACATATAAATTTTTAAAATCTTTGGCATTCTTTTGTTAAATCTCCTGCAGTATTCTGAAGGGAGCTAAGTACCAATGTAAGGAAACATATTTGATCACACTCCTCAGGTCACCACTGGTTGGACTACAGAAATTATGGTTTGGGCATGGTTTGAATGTACCCCAAGAGCTTATGAGTTAAAGGTTGGTCTGCAGGATGACAGCGTTGAGAGGTGCTATGGAACCATTAAGAGGGGTGCTTAGTGGGAAGTTCTGGGGTCATCCAGTACGTTGCCCTCAGAGGGAATAGGTATTTTCTCAGGGCACCCCTTTTCTGTCTCTGCTGTGCGGATGGAGATGTGACTGTATACTGCACCTTGTGCTCCTTCCATTGATATTTGCCATGAGGTGAGGCAGCCATGGGAGGTTTTCTTTAACTTATTGGCAAGACAAATTTCTGCCATTTAACAAGTGAGCTGCCTTAGGTATTTTGTCGTAGTAACACAAAGCTGACTAATATAAGAGATAAAATCCTCTCCTGTATTGGGAAAATCAGATTCTCTTGGTTTTTTGAGATGGAAATGAACAGCCTCAAAATTACATAGAACCCAGATGCACAAATCACGTTATTCACAAGAAACACAAGGCAGTGAAAGCCGGAACCGTTCTTCCTGCCTCCTTTATGGTTCCTGTTCAACGTGGAGTTTTGAGTTCCATGAACCATTCAACATTCTTCTGTTAGTTTCCCCCTTTGCCTATGTTGAATAGTCTTTTTCTCTTTATATATTAAAAGAAAATCTAAGAGACAGTCTCCAACTATCATCTATCATCTATCTATCATCTATCTATCTATCTATCTGTCATCTCTCCTCAAAGTGTCAACATCTTTTAGCCTCTGAGAAACAATATTAAGTAAGTAGCTAAGTAGAGGTAATAATCTTAGGGAGAAGAGACAGAGGCAAGATTGGAACTCAGTCTCTACAATTAGTCAAAATGTTAGCATGGTTTTAAAAAGAAACACTTCTCTTTGATTTGCAAAAGTCAGACTGACCAGGAATGTAATGTATAACAATAAAAAGTTAAGTCCAAATCTCATTATGTAACCTACCATTGAACCTTTTGATAGCTCAAATCTAAACTACTTCTAGTTAAATATATATCTGTAAGATTTTTGAAAAATACAGCTTTAAGAATTTTCTGAGGTCTAGGTAAAAACTCATAGTGAGTTATTGAGATAAATATTAAGGATATAATTTTGATTATTAAAATTAACATGCATAAATCTGTGCTATCTATTCATAAATAAATTTTCTTTGAGATTGAGTGTATATATGTAGCATGATATTTATTCTATTTGAATTCTTATTCAACTGGCTTTAAATAAAATTAAAGCCGTGCAGAAGATATTCTTTAGAAATCAAGACCGCTTTTAACAAAACTTCTGACAATGACCCAGAGATAATAATAACTGATCTTTCAATTTTAACATATGAAAAACACAATTTTGGAAAGAAATTAACAATAACATTTTAAAATAATTAAGTCGCAAAACAACTATAAAGATTAATTTTAGTTCAACTAAAAATATTTTTAGTTCAACTCCAGGGAGCTTAACTGCTAACTAAACATTAATGGGAAATTTATGTCACATGTCAACATGTCTAAAAGAATCCTGGGAATGAGGGAAGTTTTCATGGAATATAGTTATAGTAAGTCGTGGAAACAAAGTGATGTTAATTCTGTCAGAAATGCACTTGTTCTAGCCCACAGGAAATTATCTATCATGAACTGCATATAATAGTTATAGTTATTTTCTTTCTTTTTTAAAAATTGTGTTTAAAGAGAAAAAAGCAAAACAGAAAAAAGAGCAGTAATAATAAAGAATTTCAAAAAAAGTAAGAAATCACTAGCTGATAATTACATATTGTCATCTTAGAAATAGCTGTTCAAGTTACAAAATTAAAGCATACAAAGTGGACATTCAAACAGTGAGACTACAAACAGTTCTTCTCAACAATCCAGCAAAAACTTAGTGATATGGTTATCTATCTTACACACTTAAACATACATGCAGTTATATCCTTTAGAGCACTTTCTTTTCCTCTCTTTTTTAGAATAGCAATTACACATTTTGGGTTTTCTCACTCCTACAGTTCTTATCACTTTTTACACTAGAGACACCATTTGATATTTATAAATATGATTCTTATTTATTTCACTTATGAGGATAGTTTCAAGTTGCTTCCATTTACCTATGAAGGCCTTGAAATCATCCTTTTTATAGCTAAGTAATATTCCATTGTATAAAAATGTCACAGCTTTTTCATCCACTTTGCAATTAATGGGCATCTTGGTTGTCTCCAAGATTTAGCTATTACAAATTGTGCTGCTATGAACATAGGTGCACATGTGATAAGACCTTTACAGTTTTTCTGGGAAAATACCCAGGAAGAGAATAGCTGGGTTGAATGGAACTTCCAATCCTTCTCTTCTGAGAAATCTCCATAGTGATTTCCATAGTGGCTGCACCAGTCTACACTCCCACCAACAGTGGAGCAGTGTAAAATGTACAGTTATTTTCAACTACTTTCAAATCAGTCTTGCGCATATGCATGCACACAAAGGCTGGGAAAAACCTAAAGGATCTAAGAGGTGTTTCACAGTAGATACAAGTTAATGGGGTTCTGGAAAAATCAGAAGAACTGATAAATGTAAATATATAAGTATATGAAACATTAGTTAATGTAGACCAGAAAATTGTAAACTGAAAAATGAAGAATGATATAAAGTATATTTTATTTTTTTCTGTTTGGAAGAAGGAGATGTTTATACTCAGGCCATCATTACTCAGATTTGTTTGGAATTAAAGTGCATGCATAAGAAATTAGTCAAATGGTAGCGTGATGTATCCTGAATTAGGCATCAGAAAATACTGGATTTGTTTCTAGCTTTGCAATGCATTTGCAATGAAACATGAAAATTATTTAAAACTGTGATTATCAGTTTGTTTACAAATAAGAATAATAATATCATGAAGCAGATATAGAAAATAAATAATTTCTGCAAAACCAATTATAAAATGCCAAAGTTATTTATTGATAGTATACATTATGAATCCATATCACGTAACAAGCTATAATTTAGTTGTGCTCATTTTAGTTGGGAAGTTTCCTCATCAAATGAGTTAACTGAAAATAAGATGATATTATGATATCTTAAAGTTAAAATATTTGCATATAAATTTTGAGCTAGAATGGAATCACTAAAATGTAAACTCTGGTAATAGAATTTTTACCAGATGAGTGTTGGTTTGGGAAAAAAAGAATCTGAAAACAAAAATGTTAATGTCACTGTTTAATAAGAAATAGTACATGTGGATTAAAAATATTTCCCCAAACCAACTAATATTTTTGTAACATAATATAGACTTTTTTAAATAGAAGTGCTTGCATATAAACATCAGTACCTGGAAAGTATAGCCATGTATGTGTACAAAGAGGAGAAATGTAATTGATATATTATCAGCAAAAAAAGAAAAATAATATCAAAAAGCTTTGTAGGAAAAAGTACTAAAGCAATGATATAAAGGACACAATATAATGAGTATGTGCTTAGATGGGAGAAAGGGAGACTAACAAAGTGGGAAGGAAGAAATTAAGTAAGAGGCAAATGAAACTATATATCAAGACCAACTGTATTGATAAGATGCCCAAAAGAGGACTTAGAACATTCAAGGGTACCATATTCCTTCCTCTTTCTAGAATCTGCAGTATAATCTGGAGCTGGGGCAATCAGCTTGGGTGACTTTGGTTTCACAGCTCCTCCTCAGAAGATTAGCAGCAGATGAACACTTCAAATGAAAAGCAGTAATAACAAATCCTTAAATTAGAGTTAAGAATGAAGATCAACATGCCCCAGCTCCTGAAAAGAGCTTGCTCTGCCACGAGTGCCCTTCGGTTTATTTAAAAATTAATGACACAATTTAAATGGCTCCTAGTTGTTTCAAGGATATTTAGCAGAATTAAAAACTGTGCTTTGCTATAAAGCAGCTAAGCGTGCATGATTGCATGAGAGAAGAGCTAGATGAGTTTTCATAATCCTCTCCTGTGATTCAGATGCAAAACTGTGGTCAGGTGCACAGTCAGAGTGTGTTATAAAATGTTCTTGTTTTTATGCTTTCCTCTTTTGAGTGTTCACTTTTCTGCACACAATACACTACAACCAGGAATTTAAAAAGCACTTTGTTTAAACTCTGTAATGGAATCTTTCTGATTTATTTTCAATGTGAAATATGAAAAATGTGCCACAATTTTCTACTGAGTTAGAGATACACTGATAGGACTTTGATGTATGCACAAATCATACTTTTGTTTATCCTTCTCAAGACAAAGAGGATGAGTTGGATAAAGAATATGCTTTGGAGTTAAAGAAAAGCCAATGCATTACTCTGAGAAAAGGAAATATAATCCTCCTAAAGAACAGATATGGACAAAAATCACATAAAAATGAAAGATTTATTTTGAGAAGAAGACAGAACTTCAAATCTTCAACTGAGCTGCTACAGAAAAACATAAAAAAAAGGCTTATCTTGTCTATCTGATTGAATGTGTAGATACCGCTGCTGGGATGGAGATTTTCTTTTGTAAGCTATTTAATACAGCAGTAAAACTTACTCAAGACTGTTGGCCAAGGTGGAGTCACACCTTGCAACTTTCTTAGCTACAAAGAATAGTACAAAGATGCAAACATAAAAAGTTCCATGAGGCTAGATGCAGGAGTATTGCATTCACAGTCTGCCTGAAAGAAAAGCTGCCACGTGTGACAGAATCTTCTCCAGTCTCTGTGTGAGGAAGGCAGAGGCCAGTCTTCAGGGCACCAGGACTGCTTGCAGAAGGCATCTCTAACCTGTCTAGAATCTCTGGATGAAAAAGAAAGCACTATGTATGCCTATGAAATGGAAAGGACGGCAGATTATTATCCATCCTTGGGAAAAGCTGTCAGAAGTAGTTGGGCAGATAGGAAACTGTTGCAGAGAGAAAGGGTTGTACGAGAAAAAACGGGCATCAAGGAATGCTGCACCAAGGCTAGTCTTGGGTTGACCCACAGTCAAGTGCAAGGACCAGGGTTGTACATGTCAAATAAGGAGTGCGTGTGAATGCTGAAAGGAAATAATTTGTAGTTAGCTAATGTTAAGAACCAACTTCACAGAAAGCTCACTGACATGGCCCTGAATATGGCTTACATAAACACAGCAGCTACTGCTAAAGCTCAAGGTGCTGTAAGATTTGTTAAATAGTACTGAGGACAAGGGCAAGAAATGGAGTAGGAACTGAAGCAGGGCATAGGCATGGTAAGAGCAGGGGACAGAGGGCAGAACTAATAGTCACTGAAACAACCAGTGTCAAAGCACAGTAGGATGCCATGCAGCCATGGGAGGCCCTTCAGATTTGTGGAAAGAAGGTAGCAAGCACCAGGGCCACCAGTCATGGGATTGGGCTGTGCATGTCCTACCAAGTCCCCAGAACTGTGCTAAGAATATATATATACACACACATACATATCTTACTATGTTTTAGTATTCATTATGAGTGAACTACTACACAAAGCGGTTTATAGGACAGCAAAAATGATATGAAGGTAACAAATGAATACATAAACCACAATTTACCAAACTACCCAAAATGAGAATTGTAGGATCTGTTCATGTTGAATGGTAGAAGACTGGTGTAACCAAAGCTTTCTGGGGCAGAAGGAATGTGGTGGTAAAATTAGGCTGTCTGATTCTTGACATATTAATAAAAGGTGGTTCTTAACATTCATATTCACCATAATTCAATGCAAGTGCAGGGCTGAAAAGTGACTAACAAATGAGTCAAATTTCTTAGACTGAATTTTCTTTGGACAATTGGGCTCCAGTTAAACACATCAATGCACTTGTTACCTGATTGCACACAAAAAAAAAAATCTTAGAAGAATTACCACTGAATTCAAAGGAAAAGAAAGTGCTAGCTCAGATGATTCTTATCTTGCTTTTCACTTAAATTATTTTATTCCTGTAGCTCTAAACTCATCTTGTTTTGTTAAGATGATGATATAATCTACAATTATAAAATATCTTATGAGAAAGTTAAAAAACAATCAGTTTAAACTATCATATAAGGTAAAGTGCTACTCAGCTAATTTTTGTATAAAAAGGAGGAAATTTTGTAAAAGGCATCCAGTAATGGGTCATTTACAAAATTCGTTTTTTGTAAATATACTGTGTTTGATTTTAAAATAGTTACTGAAAACAATGCTTGCCTGATTTTTCACTTCAGCTGCAGAACTGATATAATAGAGATTCTAAAAGAATGTCGGGTTGCTGACTGAGAACATTCATTAGCAGAGTCAAAGTATTCATCATTCTGATAAGAGAACAGGAAACATGGGCCCTTTACCCGGACTTTGCTGCTGTTGATGGGTATCTAACCTCAGCTATGTCACTTCATTGTGCCTCTCACTCTTCTATCTATAAATTTGCATGATAACAATTACTTTCTCTCCATATTTTATATTGTCATCATCAACACTTACGAAGCTTCTACTATGGAGTCAAGGACATTTGCTGCAATCTGACCATTTTTCTAAATGCAATTCATGCAATTTTTCTTGAACACATGTTTAACTTAATTTTCTTAGCTAAGTTTTATTTCATTTCTCAAAAGAGAATGCCTATAACCTTTTCTTTTTCTGTTACTTTGTGACTGCATACTTATCCTGCTCCAAAGAGTTACTTGACTCTAGAATACTAAGACCCTTGCTCAGAAGTAATTGTGTTTAGCTGGGCAAGGGTAGCATAGTTCTCAAATCCCAGGAGGCTGAAGTGAAAGGCTCTCAAATTTGAGAACAGCCTGGACAACTTAGCAAAAGCTTATCTCAAAATACAATTCTATAAAGGGCTGAAAATACAGCTCAGTGAGAGTGTGCTGGTCTAGCATGTGTGAGGTCCTGAATTCAATCATCAGTACAGCAAAAAAGAAAGAAATAGTTGAGCTTTCGTCCTTACATCTACCTGTCCACCTGCTCAACTTGTATCTACTAAACACCCAGGATACAAAAGTGGTGCCAGTTGCTGAGTTTCATGCTATTTTCATCATGTCACATGCAGGTTAAGGCCACCTGCCTAAAACTGCTGTCCAGCCTATTGAAAGTGAAAAGTTGGCATGGTGGATCCTCTCGGCCTGGCCTCTTAAACTTTGGAGTGTTGAAAACAGATTCACGGTTCAGCGCATTGCTTTGTGAGTTCTATTCTGAGTCCACTCCAGCCTGGGGACCTGTGCAGGCCTTGAATGAATTTGAGAAGACTCAGAAGGTGTAAAAGTTTAAAAAGCTATTTTTCACTTTTTTCATCATGCATCAGAAAGGACTTTTGCAGCTATATGATTCATGGGCTGTTCTATCAGAGGAGGAGAAGCACATTTACCAGGATAATCCCTTCTGACCCTGTACCAAAGGCAGCTAAAGAGACAAAGCTAAATTTGGAGATTTTTTTTCACATATCTACTATGATCATATTTTTAACTTAAGAGAAAACTTAGGGTGAAAAACAATCAAATGGATTTTTTTACAGATAAAATATCTTACTAGACATTCATAAGCATGTTTCCTTCTGTCAGTTTTCTAGTCACTTCACAGTCTCCAATCAGATTCCATGTAGTTATTTGTCAAAATGTCTTACCTTGTCTCTGCTTCTCTACATGGTGGGAAATGTTGAAGATCAGCGATATAATTAGAGCCAAACCCAGCAAGACTAGAAGTCCCCAGAGGAAAAAAGGGCATTCGGTGCTTCCTGGCAACAAAAATGAATATACCAGTGATACAGTAGCCAGCTCCTCATTTGTTTTGGTCACGTTAGTCCCACAATTAAAATCATTGCATTTATTCATCATGAAAAACAAGTCCTATGCCAGGACATTAATCAACATTGACAAACAAAGACATCTTACAGATTTTAAAGTCAGGGTTGGTGATAAAGTCCTCGTGGGCATTTTGCATGGGCAAAATGAAACAAGTTTCCTAAATTCTTAGTGCAGATGAAAGGAAAGATATTTTTAGTCCATTAAAAGGTGAGAAGACCTGACTGATTAGCAAAACTGGCTCAAAATTAAGAATATCTTAACTAGTAAGATCATAGTCTACTGTACTTTTTCATTTTAGCTTTACCTCAGACTAAAATTTATGGGTGTTTTCATTATTCACAGAAAACCACTTGTTTCTTTCCAAAATCCCATCAGTATAAGATACCGTATGTTGGGATAATAATTCTAGAATCATAGTAACCTGGTTTTGTTAGCCCCATGACTGAACAATAGAGTTTATTATGCTTCATTTTCCCCTGCAAAGGCCTCATCTGTCATTCCATTCCTGAGCCATAAAGACAGTTCTGTGGGCTGTGGCTTGTCATTCAGTCTTGATAACTTATAGCTGTCTACTCACACAGAGTCCATCAAAAATGCGTACAAACTTCAGAAAAACAAGAATGGTATGATGTTTTCTCAACAGAAGGTGTTACTCTCACATTGGGGACCACTAGAAGATGTTGCATATCAGAAAATCCCCACACCAGTGACCCTTAGAGAAATTGAAAATGCATGGAGAGATCTCAGTGACTGAGGTCACCCAAACAGTAGTTGGCCATACTAATAAATGTCTGGCCACTAAAGACCACCACTTTGAGCACCTCTAGCCATGCAGAGGCCAAAGATGACAAGTTTTAATCTCATAATGTTTCAGAGAATTTAGTATGAAAGCATTTGTACAAGTTTCTCTTCTCCTGAAGTGTGTATGCATTTTTTTTGGGGGGGGGGAGATTAAGTGACAACTAAGATAGTTTGCTTGACTTGATATATCTTAATAGTCATATCCCTCTTTGACACACGTGATAAGCTGATCTCAGGAAAGTAATCGTATTGTATTTATTTATTCAACCAATATCAATTAGACATATCTTTTTAATCAAAAACTATGGAATCAAAGATCAAGATGGAACAAAATAAAACAGTCTTTACCCTCAAGAAACTCTGTTTTCATGGGGTCGTAAAAGTTAAATATATAATTAGAAGTACGATGTGAAGACAACCACCACCAAGATCACCAAGATCGTATTTCTTCATAGTTCTGACTCCTTGTGTATAAGAATGTCTAAAATCAAAGACCACTTTATGCTTTTTCAATTAAATTACAATACCAGTATATTAAATATAGTGAATAAAACATATACTCTCTTAATGAGGTGGGGGAGATTAGCTTTGCTTCTCTAGTCTGTTTTTAAAATATCAATCGAAAGCTCTCTAAACCAAAATATTATGCTGCCCTCCATTGCTTATTTTCTGTATCTCACATTTAGCATGTGAATCGTGACCATTTTCTTCAGCTTCTCATTGATACTTCTGTGTTGGTTTATCTGTTCTTGGAGTTCCTTGTGTATTTGAGCTGGGCTCACTGACTTTTAAATGACCATAGGCAGGCATATGAACCATTAAGTATAGAAAATGTGTATTGTGTGATTCTTACATAGCTGTGTATACACGAATGCATATAATTTGCATACTGCTGATTACATGTATACATTGCTTTAACTTGAACCAGTTTGAATCTCTTTTGATACCAAATTATCTACTGCTTATTATTTCCTCTTTAATTTAGTACTGTGTTGTTTTTAAATGTTCAAAATACATTAAAGTCTACTTAGAATAGTGTTGTTTATGCATTTTATTCTGTAAACCCATAGAGTGTAGGCTTCATAAGCTTTTTCAAGAATTAATTAATACATAGAAAATGTTAGTTGATAATGGTAGTGAAATGTGATGCATTGTTTTCATTAGGAGAATTTGAGGAGGTTTAAACAGTCCTTTGATCTCTGAAAATTAATTTGATTAAAAGCATTATTTGTACAGGGTAAATGGTCTCATGAACACAATCCCACAAAATATTTATAAAAATAGTATTATGTAATAACTATTAACTATATTAAATATACTAGAAATTCTGTGCATCACATGATACTGAATACATTTCTAAAATTATTTGTTTTTAAACACTTTAGCAGTTACTTATATGCAGTTTAAGTGCTAATAAGAGATAAAACATTTTTAAAATTCCAAATGCCAAAATATAAAGTAACATGCAATACAGCATGTTATATTTATCTACAAAAACGTAAGTGGTCATATTATACCAATTAGTCTTTTTTTAAAATTACTGAGTTTGGGAAATTTTTATCATGATAGTGTGTTATTTTTAGTGGCTGCCTAAAGTTCTATAGTATTGTTGACATGTAATTCACCTGTTTTGCTAGGAAGTACATGAAAATTTTTTAAAACATTTTTCTTATTCAAGATTATTCAAAAAATATCACTGGGCATTTTGTGCACAGGAGGAGTTCATCTGTATAAGAGGTTGCTGGCGATAGAATTGCTGGACCAAAGGATACGTTGGGAGGCTTTTACAGTTTCAGAGATTGCTCCTCAGTCACTCTCCTCATCCGTACACCCCCACCATGGATAACAGTCCTTTCTACAAAGCTGATGTGACTATATTGCACAAGAGGAGGCCAGAAAACTGTCTCAGTTGATAGATGAGCCTAAGTTCCACAGGGGTAAAGGGACGATTTCTATTTTTAAAGACCTTTGTTCTTTTCTTCTTTGCATATATGTTACTTAAATACCCCGAATGCAGGAGATGTAGTTTAGGCTGGTTTGTTGTTATTGTTGTTGTTTGCTTTTGTTTTCTGAGATTTGTAACAATTTGAAAAGCTTATACGTGACCAACAAAACCCATAAATATTGAAAAACCAAGAAACAAGATATGAATCTAAGCCGGGCGTGGTGGCTCACGCCTGTAATCGCAGTACTCGGGATGCTGAGATGGGAGGATCCTTGTGAGTTCGAGACCCACCTAGGCCAGAAAGTGAGCTCAAGGCCAGCTTGAACTAAATAGTGAGACCCCGTCTCAAAACACCCACACACACAAAAAGATATGAATCTATAAAAGGTACATAGGTAAGGCTATTTTATACTACTACCATAAAAGACATACAAATCTACTATAAAAAGTTGAAATTTATCAAAACATGTGCACACAAATACATATAGGTCACCTAGCCAGCCATTTATGGTCGAGAAAATGTAAACACAGTAAAGACACAACCTGAAATCGTAACTGTATAAAATTACCCATAGTAATGCTACCTGCCACTTCTTGCTATGGTGGTGAGTCTGGGTATTACAAGTGTCTTTTTCTTCTCGCTCTCTCACTTTTTTTTTTTTTAAACCAGGGATCAAACTCATGCCCTTAGGCTTGCCAGCCAGGTGCTTAGGCTGCTGAACTAAATTTCTGACCCAGCATGTGTCCTTTTCAAATGCTTAGTGATGCCTTTGTGAGTCCATCTCTTCAGTAAACTGCAAATAGCAATAAAAAGTGGTTCCTGCCTATTTTTCACCTTATGTAACTTGTAGGATATACAAAATATGTATTGACCAACTGTCTTATCATTAAGGCTTCTGATCAACAACAGGATATTAGTAGTTAGGTTTTGGTGAAAGTCAGAAATTAGTGCAGATTTGTGACTGGGGTTGGTGCTTCTATCTCCTAGTTTCTCAAGGATCCACCCTGCTTCGCAACTTATTTTCCTCTGTTTAGAACTTGTTATGGCCAGGAATACAGGATTGATTCTATTATGCCAACTAGACTATTACTTACTTTTCCCTCAATGTCTACAGTGTTCTTTTCCTATGAGCCAAGCAAGCTTCCATTTTTTTTTTTTTTGGTTGCCCAATATTTCATTGTTTGGACTTGCATTAACTTATTTAAGCAATAATGTATGAATAAGTACTAAGGTGTTTCTATTTTTTAGTTACTATAATCAATATAGTGATGAATGTCTTTCTAGTGGAAACTATATATGTAGACTTTTTTAAGATTAAATTTTTGAAGATGGATTGCTAGATGAAAGGATGCACATAACTTGCAGGACTTTCATACCTTGATAATCCAAGGTTTTGAAATAAAATAATACATACGTACTTCTCAGGAGAGTCTGGTTCTGCTTTTATTCATTCAGCTGACGCTGGTTTTATGTTTACTGCTGCTTCCACTAATCCACACTACATTAACCACTACTTCTTCCCCCCTAATGTCTTCTTGTGTACTACACCCAAATCCTCCAGTCCCCCACCGTCTCTGGAGAAAGTTGCCCATTTTTAAATCTGTCTTTAGCCTGTAGTACAGGTTTTTAAAGGAAAAAGTACCTGATCTTGTATCTACCCTGAACATAGAGGTCATCACACTTTTCTGTATTATTATTGTAAACTACCCCCAAAACGTTATTTCAATTTCCTACCTTGAGAAATCTTTCATAAGTCTTGAGACTTATCTTTCACAACCTTTCAGTCATATATCATTCTCCAATCATTCTGAAGAAAATATTTACCGTATCTTGTTTCTATGTATCCATATAGTTACCTCCTTGCCTGAAATGCCTTTCCGTCAACCATCTAAAAAATAACTAGATATCCTTCAGGAGAACTTTCTCTTTGAAGAGTTCCCTCAGTCCTGCGTGGAACCTCCCATCCTTTCCTTTCCATTTTAAAATTATCACAGCAGTCCTTTATATATAAACCTTTCCAACTAAACTCTGAACTTCCCAAAAGGCAAAAACTATCTTACTTATCTTTTCATTCATGCTTCAGTTTCTTTGTTTGTGAAAGATCATAATAGTAAATTCCTATTGCTATGAATATTAAGACATGTATTGAAATTTTTAGAATAATATTGTTCTCTACTAGAAGA